GTGTGTGTGTGTGTGTGTGTGTGTGTGTGTGTGTGTGTGTGTGTGTGTGTGTGTGTGTGTGTGTGTGTGTGTGAGGTACCTGGACACACACACACACACACCAGGTGTATCTATCTATCTATAGATATAGATAGATATCTATATCTAGGGTGGTGGTGGTGTGTCCAGGTACCTGAGTACCTGATATACATGTATATGATGCCTAAGTACAAGTATCTGAAGTGTTTAAGCTCCAAAGGGTAGACTTTTAACATGTTTGATCACTAGGGTTCTGAGTTTTTAAAATATCTGTAATATGACAGTAAGTAATATAGTGTTAAAGAGTGCAGTCAGAACTGTGGATTCTTGATTTCCATTTCTGACACCTAATTTTCTGTTCATGTTAGGTAAACCACTACTTTTGGAAACCGACAAGCAGTCTCAAGTATGTGTGTAGGTGGATGGGTAAGGGCGGCTGCTACCCAGCAGCAGTAGTTAACTTAAATCTGATTATATCTATAATGATTGTCAGCTTCTTCCCTCTGCTGTATAAAAAGAAAAAGATGGATTAAGATAACATTGGGGTATTATACAAGTGAGGCTGAGGTCTCTCTGACTACCTGGATTCATATGAGACTCACATTTGTTTGTTTTTTTATGTTATTTAAAGTTCTAGCACAATACAGCGAACAAATTGTTTGAAAGGGCTAAATTGGCTAATGATATTAAAAATTCAGCAAACCTGATCCAGAAATAAATTGTTCAAGTTTTTCATGGGTGAATAGACAGCTCATGGGCCTTAGTACAGTAACGTGGAAGGCAAAAGTACGCAAATGCAAGAATAACACAAATGCAATACAAATTTCAGGGAGCCCAACCCAGCTTGACTGACAAGTCCAATTTTTATTTTGGACTACTATTTTTAAAGTTCGAGAGGTGTATTATGCATATGTAAAACAAGTGTTGCTTCCAGGTTTTGCAAATAAAAAAGGAGGACAAAAATGACAGTAAGTAAGTACAGCCAGTGTAGGATCCATCATCAAAAATCAACGTGCACTGAAAACTTTGAAAAATTGTTTAACCACAGAACTGAGAACAAAACACTCCACTTCTTTAGCCATACAGGAAGACATGCTACAATAGCTCCCCAACCAATCAACATCACTAAAAGCCTCAGACCAGGAAATCCTTCATTGTACAGTATATGTGAACATTGTGACTAAGACTTCTCATTTGTTGCTGTCTCTTCTTTTTTTTCTTGCCTTGTTCTTTGCATCTGCAGGATGGCAAGGCAGATGTGAAGTCCCTCATGGCGAAATTCAATACTGGTAACAACGCAGCAGAGGATGTTTTGGTTAACAGTCGACCCTTCCGACTCCCAGAGCAGTCTTCAGGACTACAGGCTAGAAAAGCTGCACTTGAGAAATTTACCAGTCACGGGAACGCAGGTCCTCCTTCTGGGCCCCACGCCTTCCCCAAGTCTGCATCTCCTAAACCTCCATTAGGAATAAAACCTCCTATTGATGATAAGACAGACAAGGATCCAAAGCCTCCATATTTGAAACATAGCCCAGTGGCACACAGGTTTGGGACTCCACCTCATGCAGCTAACAGAGAAGATGACGGAAGACCTGGATTCCCCAAGCCTTTGGGGTCCAAGCCTAGTGACCTGGGAAAAGAGGAGCCAAAGCCAGTGTTTCCCAAACCTCCTGGAAACAAGTACCTTGGCTCAAACACCCAGGACCATGACTTAAAGCCTGTGCTGGGGCCTAAGCCACCTTTGAATTCTGTACCACAGCATGAGAGTGAGCCAAAACCCGTGTTCCCCAAAATAGCTGGGAAGAAAGAAAAGTTTGCTGCTGCATCACAGGAAAATGACCCGAAGCTTCCTTTCCCCAAACCACCTCTTAGCCAAAAACCTCCTCTGGCCCCTGATACCTCCCACAATGAAGACGCGTCCAATAGAAATGTTTTTCTGCATAAGGGACCTCCAGGCCAGATAGGCCCCAGACCAAAAGGCCACTCGTTTAGGACAGCAAAGGAAAGAGAGGAAAATAGCAATAACAGCCCAGATTCTACAGCTGGCCATTTTCCCAATGTGGCTCTGAAACCTGTTGCCGATCGGATTGTTCGAGCTCCGAGCATCCTAAAAACTGGTGAGGAAAAGACTGAAGAAAAGAGGACTGGTATTGCCAAGAGTATTTTCCTCAGTAAAATGAACCAGGAAGACTCAAGTTCAGTTCCCCCTAAATTCCCCAAGCCAGCTGTCAGGCTTGCTGCAGCAGGACCGTCAAGCAGCTTCAGTGAAAAAGAAGATGGGGACAAGAGTTCCACCACCCCGAAACGGAAAACATTGCCTCCCGCCTTTACAGTGGGTCCTGCTCCTCAGAAGCCCAGCAGACCCCCTAAGGTGGACCTGGAACGATTTCGGAGACATACTACAAAAGACAGTGAGTCTTTTTCCCCACTTATTACTTAATTCATTCAAGGTGAAACTCCTGTCAGTGTGCATTGATTGCTGACGCATGCAACCCTGCATCGTGCAAACCCTGCTTGAGTCCTAGGCTGTACTTGCATTACCAATCTGCACAGAGCAAAATTAAAAATGTGATGCCTTCACCTATCGTACAGAACATGGGACAGGTGGCCACTTTGCTTAGTTTACTTGTTTCTGAAAAATGCTTAGTTGTGGTATAACTTGAATCAAATATTTCAAGCATGACTTTTACCAGGCCTTTATTTCTGATTTCCTTTAAATGACACATTGAGTAGCATGCCCTTCTCACAGTCATTTCCTGGAAGGGAGACTGATAGCTACACATATGATATACATTGACCTCTAGTAAAAACACAAAGATGTGGTGGTTACAAGGACCAACCACAGTACATGACTTAGAAGTGAGATACCTTCTTTTTAATATGTCTTTATAAAGATAGACCTTCACTGAATGTCCCCTGAATTAAAGTTGCTTGGATTTCATAACCCAATCTGAATCCAGGCTTTACAAGCCACTCTGGAGCATGATTATAAGTACGTATAAACCATTTTAGCTCCATTTCCTTTGCACAGGTAAAAAATAATTGTGTGTGAATTTATATCAGCTAAAGATCTGGCCCTTATTTTATGAAGGAACAAGGGTCACTGAATTTTGTGATGGTTGAAATCCAAAGCTAAAGTTTTAGACTTGGGACCATCTCAATATAAACATTGATATTTTGCTGTAGATATCAACCTTCTACAAATGTGCTTGAAATATTTGTAAGTACTTATTTATATGCCCCAAATACTGCAGTTTCTTATAGTAACAATTGTTTTTTTATGTTCAAGATAGGTAACGTTGTCCTGTATGTTGCATGGGCAGATACCTTTCCTATACAGATCTAGCTGAAGGATCTGGGGTTATTTCTAAGATGTGGTGCAACCACTATTGCTTTGGGTTCAATTTGCTGAGGCTGTTCAAGAATACGGTCTTACAAATCTGAAACATTTCTCCCTTAACATTAGTACCTAAAGTTAGGTTCTCAAGTATCTACGTTAGGCTCTTAAGCAGAAATGATCAGATTTTCAGAGGTGCTGAACATGTAAATTCTCACTTAGCTTGGCTTAAGGTCTGTCTGTAGGTAGAGATTTTCTGTAGGAAGCACTTTCTGGAAATCTTTAAATGACTTGTTAATTGGACTTTTCATTGAGCTATATAAGTATTGCCTGCACTTACAATTATATCACAAATCTTAAAATAGTTGGTGTTTTTCTTAAAGAACCAGCTTCTAGAGTAAGTGATTACATAGAAATCTCTATTTCATTTTAAAGAAAACCCCATTTCTACCCTCATAATTGCAAAAAAAAAAAAAGCTGGAAAACATGACTTGAGCATACCCCACAGAACCCAGAAGAAAAATAAGAAACCCCAGTTTTACTATTGTGTAAAAAAAAAAATCTCACGATTGTTAAAGTCAGTCTCATGATTTTTCCAGGCTTCAGTTTGGAGCCTATGTCAGTCAGACCTTTAGTTACATAATTACATCAGTAATTTGAATTTCTCTAGCAGCTCTTCACTTAAATCATTTCACGAGCTCTTAAAACCCACAGCAGACTGTGAGGTGATCAAGCTGCATTAGCCACTTTTTACATGAATAGCTTGCACAGATACAGTTGCAGCTCTGCAATTATGCTCCGACAAAAAGTTTCACTGTAGTCAAGACTCGTGTTTGTTTTTGTCGCATGCTGCGATGCTTGCAGTTTTGTAGCTGGTTTTTATATAGTGCCAAATAGACCTAACCAAAGACATTTGAAAATATCCTGCCCAGGTGAAGACTCTGGGAAGAATACAAGCTCTGAGTGAGTCTCACTGATAATAAAAGCCAGTCTTTGAACACTAAATATGATTGCAGCTTTATATTCAGCTGTTAATCCCTTCTCGGTGGTAAGTGAGGTGCTGGAGCTCACTAGCTAAAAACAGTGTTATCTGTAACTACGTTCTGGTTTTCCTGTGTCTCTTTGTATTTTTGGAAGGGTTTTCATGAATTCATTGCAGGGACCAGCTCTTCACCTGGTTTACTTCTATGTAACTCCATTGAATATGAAATAGCCATGCCAGTTTACAGCAGCTAAGGAAATAGCCCGTTGTTTTTAGAGCCCTGGTCAGAATTTCTCAATTTATGCCAATACATTTGACAGTCAGAATATGAAGATAGTGCAGTTTAAGTTCATGAGACCATGAATTATAGAGCAGGCTCACAGAGATTAAGCAAAAACAGCAGCAGTACTGCAACACCAAACATTCAAAAAGTAATAGCCAAGCCTCAGAAAAAATAGCATTTTTTTTAAAAACACTAATTAATTTGTGTTCATATTTTCATACATTTGGTTTGTATTTTCAAAAAAGAATTTTCCCTTTAACCAAAGAGTCAGAGACATTTCTTTTTAAATGAAAATGGAGAGTTCTGTGTTATTACACAAGTGACACCTTAGGGGGGGGAAAAAACCCACCAAATGCTGCAAGAGTCAGCAATGCCACAGTGGTTGATAACTCTTTTTAGTTTGTCCGTTTGGGCCAGGGCAAGACCAAAATGTTTAAAGTGCATTTCAGTATGTGGCAATCCATGTGCAACCTTCGTGATTTTATTCTTGTAAAGCTCTTGCTTACTCCATTTCCCCCCCTTCCCAATCTGTATGGGGGTTCTGATCGTACACGTGGCCACACATGTGTACAAGGCTGCGAGGATGCAGACCGCCTGGTATCAGTCATCAGGACCTTCAGTTACAAACTCCCTGGTGCAACGATTGTGCTTTTATGCATCTATGCTGTTGAATGCATGAAACAGATGTTGGCAATAACGGAGAACACATGGAAGTCAAAGTATTTCTACCAATGAGTATGGCTAATATTCACGTGTGCTACCTAACCTGACTTGAAGAAAGGTACATTATCAGGTAACTTAACTAAAATAGATCCTGGCAAATTTTTTTCAAGTAAACAGACTGTCATTACTGCTAGATTTCTTGGGATACAAATTATGCTGTGATGGTACCTTTTTACAGTTAACCAGACTTGTTTTTTCAACTGTCACTTCAAGAATCAAAGCTGTGCCAGGAAAGTGCCGCCCCCTCAGCAAAAAGCAAACACTTCATGTTACCTTGGCCTCAAAACCCCAACCAATAGTTGTATTATACTGTATCTGCTCCTGTGATTTTTTTTGAATTGAGTAAGAGAACGGGCAAACAGAGCTAGGCAGGAAATGGATTTCCCCTCTGGTAAAACTTCTTGAAATGTCCCACATAGGAGTGGGAAGACTTCTGACAAGTCAAGACCTTTGGAATTTTTCTAAACAGAAAAAAAAAAAGGTCTCCAGTGATCAATGTGCCAGTGGTTGGGGCACTTGACTTATAAGAGATTCATGTTCAAGTCACTGTTCTTTAGTGAAGTTCTTGAACCCAAGTGTAACAGGAGGCCTTCTCAGGACCAATTTAACCATGGCTCACCCACCTTTTCTGGGTTAACCACCCACATTCTCACCCACCACACCTTGTTGTTAATTAAAGATGTAATTAAGTGGGAGGCTGCCAACTTCCTACCCCAATGCCAGGGGGCACTATCTGCAGCTCCTTTCCTCCCCTACACCACAGCCCAAGCCTCGCTGATGGCATCCAGATGTTATTATAATCACTGGCCCCCCACACCGGGCCCCAGAATCCTACTACTGAACCTCCACCTGGGTTCCTCTCCTCAGGCAGTCTCTTCCACCTTCAAACCAGGCAACATAGCTCCCTGAACTGATTCCCCTTCAGCTGAGGTCCCCCTGGGACCTTTGGCTCACTAGCCCTGGCCCACCTCCAGGCCAGTCAGAACCCCAGGCACACAGCTCTTGGGCATCCCTCACGGTGGGCCCCTGGCCCTTCAACTCTTCCAGTCCTGGCCCAAGCATGGGCTAGTAAGGGGAAGTCCAGACAGGCCTGAGTCTGTGGCCCTTACTCTTTCTCCCTGGGGTCCACCTTCCTGATCCTCCAACAAGGGGTAACCCACCCAGTTGTGGGGGCTGATGTTAAGGCACCCCAACCTGCCTTTCACTAGGGTGGTAACTGGCCTGGCATTTCCTGGGAGCTCCTGCACCACTGGGAGCCCCACCAAGCCACCCACTCCTGGCAGGGTACAGTTTTAGGTCATGCCCAGGACCAGGAGCCTCTTTACCATTTCCCTACAACTCCTCCCTTACCTCCAGATGATATCAGCAGCACCCAGCCAGGCAATGTTGTTGCCTGGCCTCCAGCAACAGAACTGCCCTGTTTATATGGGCAGCCCCAGATTCAAAATGGCTGCCCTCATCAGGCACCTGGTAGCTGCTAACTCCGGGCCCTTAAAGTGGCAGGCACAAACAGTGCCCTGCCACACCAAGTGTCCCAGGCACCATTTGAGTGCTCCAGCTGCCAAACTATCACCTCTGCTATGACTAGTTTATCTCAATCTTTCCTGCTGGGGGTGTGCTTCTTTGTATAAATAAATATTCACTGAGCCAGAATCCATAGTTCATTAGTTAAGATGCTGACTTGGGAAATAGCACTCCCTCGTTCAATCCGGCAGAGCTGTGGAATGGACTGGGCCCTCTCACACCTCAAGTGAAGGCCAAACTGCAGACAAATAGCTGCTCTGGTGTAGGTCTTTCCCTTTCCCTAGGAATTTCACCCTAAATCTGAGCAATCTGTCTTGATTAAAGCATTTTTAAACTAATATATTCCCATGGACATTTTAATTTTTTACGAGCAGCATTTTCCAATGACAAAGTATTTTGAAATAATCCCAACCAGTTCTGTAAGCAAACCTCATTCCATCCTGGATGGTGTATGGGCTTACTGCCATAGTCCATAGCCCTAAAGCCATTTCCACTGATAGTGGAGTATACTGTCAGGTCAGTTCTAACCCACAGGAGATCTGTGCTTTTCAGAAGCAGAAAA